CCATAGGTCAATGTGCCTAATTACTTATCATGTGGAAGCTATTGCACTTGAATACTATCTCAAGTGGGCAACCAAAGATTAGACATTTGCTAAGATCGTGATCATAAATTAAGTACAATATCCTTCTTACCGGTAGGTCATGATGGACAATGTATGATGTCATGAAGGGGGAAATCCCTAATTGTTTTGTATGTGGTTTAGAATCCTATTTAGCTTTATAAATATTATGCCATAAGTCAATGTGCCTAGTCACGTTGATGCCATTGCACATAACTACTATCTCAAGAGGGCAACAAAATATTCAATATTTGATGAGCTTTACAAAACAAATAATGCCCTATTCTACTGTTGATAACTGTCAGCTTGAGCTTGAGTTGGAACTCATCCAGAGTTCAAAGTCTACTCAAGGTATCCTTGCCTTACCTTACCTACAAATACAGTAATTGCTTATTTCCATTATGTGTATTTCTTTCATCATTCATTCATTCATTCTTCCTGTTAACATTTAACATGTATTCATTTTTGTGCGTTTGCTAGTATGTCATTTCTATTTTGTTTCTACTCTTCTTTATGTATTATGCATATAAAAATTAAAAATCCATTGATATGGACCACATATAAATGGCGTTGTGTTGAATGTTTATATTTATGCACAACTGTTTTGATATCTGAATTAAGCATGTACATATACACATTTAAAGGTAATCCTTAGTTCTGGTAATCACAACAAATGTTTTTCACCGAATGCGAGAGAAAATCACACCTAATATCAAGGAATGCCAATGAATAGTATTTGCTAGAAGAATTGAAAAGAAATTCCATGTTAAGCTAACCTTGATAAATTGTAAAACTCTATAAATCATTATTGTCTTCAATCTAATCTTAATTATATGGGCTGTGCAAACGTATCATCCTATATATTTCTGTTCTGGTTTGGAGAAAGCGATTGTTTTATAGTTAAGCGAAAGTCTGTTCACAATAGAATTAATTCAGGCCTGATAAAAACCCGATTTAAATCGGTTTCCCAATTTTTTTTATTTTTCCCGATTTTTTCCCGATTTTTTTTTTTCTTCCTGATTTAAAAAAAAAAAAAAAAAAAAAAAATCCAGATTTTTTTTTTTTTTTTTTTTTTTTACACCACTTTTTTTTTCTTCCCTATTTTCCCTCTTATTTTCTATATTCTTCCCTATTTTGCACTATTTTCCCCCCAATTTTCTTACTCGAAAGAGGGGGGGATGTTGTTAGATGCCTTTTTTCCCCGCGAATCCTTCTTTTTTTTTTTTTTTTACTCAAGGGGGGGGGGGGGGGGGGCGTGGTTGAGGGGAAAACAAAAAACCTATTTTTTTTTTTAGTGCTCAATATCACCCCTGTTAATTGTAAAACCACTTTGTTAGTTAAATTGAATATTTGCCACATCAAACATTTGTTTTAATACTGAAATATATTATTTTACCTAGATGTACCCACTGTGCCTGATTTATAATTCTTTTTAAACTAGGAAGTGAACTAAAAGTAAAATGTAACTCGTGAAAAGAGAAATGCTGTTCAACAACAAAAAACAAAAAAAACAACAACATAAATGATATATCGTAGATTGTGTGCAGTGCACCACCTAGGATGATGTAAAGAGCACATGTATAGTTATGTATAAATACACAATAACATTACAATTACTAGTTAATTTGATGTGAAAGCAATGTATCACATGAGCATATATCATGAATGTCGCAGCTAATGGGTTACACCTTGTACATTGTAAATACATGTAGATAACTTAACACTTGACCAAATGTACGTGTTTAATTCGGCATATAATTGATTGTTCTGTCATTTTTGTTTGTTCTCTCTCGGTTCTGTTTAGTTTTTAATATAACAGATGTATTCTGCCTACCAGCTGGAAAAATATTTGCCTTTTACTATTAACTTGATGGACCTCTTCCTATTACTGTTTTGTGCAGATATTACAGACATGTGAACCAGGTTGTATCATTATGAGAAAATGAGTGTAGCCAGGTGTGTATGATAGACTGTATTATATACCTCACTTAAGAAATCCAGCCATCTGATTGGTCGAAATTGCATTCATAAACTTCAACTATTTCTGTAAAATTCCCAGTAACCATGGTTAAAACAGTTCTATAATCCCAGTAACCATGGTTATTGGGAAAATAGTTCAGTCTCCATGGTTACCCCATAGGTTTACATATTAAAAAATGGTCTGAGCGATCGAGGATACCGTACGTGTGCGAAGAATTAGTCGGTAATTTCAATACAATTGATTCTCGATCGATCTTACTGACAATTTTATCTTGCATTGTTGACATGAAGACGAAAATAAACTTCCAAAAACAAAAAAACAACATCTGCCGATAGATCTTGATCTAAATTTGTGCCAATATGCATTGCAAAAGTAAAAGAAGGGCCTGTTTAATGGAGCAGCCGCGAAGCATCCACCATGCGAAGCCGTTTTCAATCCATTTTAATGTATATATAAAAATAAAATGCTATGTATGGTAACAGAGCGCGAAAGCCGAGCGGTTTAAGGCGGTGATTTTAGTTTCATCACCTTTTGTACGCAAGAGATCGAATCCCATCTTCGACAAAAGTTTTTTTTTTTTTTTAATTTTATTTATTTTTTATTTTTTTTTGGCATATAAAAGTATTAATGACTGCTTTAATATTCGAGAAATAGTTGTTTTTATACCCTCTCGGGAAGGTTACAATTGGGCTATTGCCCTCGGCACGCCTCGGGTAATAGCACAATTCTAACCTTCCCTTGAGCGTATAAAAACAACTATTTCTCTCAAAGCAGTCATTAATACTATACTGTATCTTTGAAAGGGATAAAATGGATAATGTACATCTTTTTGACCACCAAAAAAAGAGGCTTTTTTGAGAAAAAATTGTGAAGGAATATGTAATCTGTCCGTTTGAGAGTGAGGATATATTTTTGCTCCCTATCCAGTATCTAATTATGAGAAAATTTGTGAGAAAGACAGGAAAAGGGAGAAAAAAGAGAAAGATAAATGTAGAGAGAAAGAGAGAGGGGAGAGGAGAAAGAGAGAGAGAGAGAGAGAATTGTGGAGATGGAGAAAGCGAGAAATAGAGCGAGAGGGGAAAATAGAAGAGTAAGTGATAGAAAGAGAAAGATGTAAGAAGTGGCGCCCATCATGTCTTCTCATCAATGAGGTCAATGGGATGGAACCGATAGACAGGCTCAAAGGACACCCTCTTTGACACTTGATACCAGCGATCAACACTTCACCCACACTGTCACACGTCTTATGAGGAGTCAAGTAGATGTATTTTGAACTGATATGGTCATTCATTGGCAGCAATTCTTACTCGTAAGAGTCTGTGTTTAAAGATTTTTTTTTCTCCAAAGAATAAAATAATTCAAAGATTCAAACTTCATTGCCACTGTGATACATCTTGCCTAGTATCATAATGACTGCAATAGGTGATTCTTAGAAGTGTCGTAGTCAAATGGTTTAAGCACTCAACATGAAATTCAAAGGTTGTGGTTCGATCCCCTATACGGCACTACTCCGTTGGCAAGGCATTTATCCTCATTTGCCACACTGGACCCAGGTGAGGTAAATGGGTACCTGGCAGGAATTAATTCCTTGAAATGCTAGAGCACTGTAATGGCAGCTAGGCTAGAGCCGGGGTAATAATAAATGCGCCTCAGAATAGAATTTCTAGATAGACGGCGCTATAGAAATGCCTATTATTATTCTTGCAGTGTTCCATATGGTCCCATTGATGCAGCAATGCTCACCCATAAGAGTCTCATGTTTATTGTTAATAGTAAGTTAATGCAACAATACTCGCTAGTAAAGATTCTTGTTTTTAAAGGCAACAGATAGGAATAATAATGGTGGAACCAAAAATAGTCTTGTCTTGCAATGCCTCAAATAACTGGTAAGCCTACAAAACTGAATATATTGAAAAAAAACTACTGGTATTCCTAAATAATTAATCTATAGATACAGACTTTATAATTTCCTGATCACCCCAAGGCCCCAACTACACCCTCCTACGCCCCCACCTACACCCTCCTACATCCACCCCTACACCCTCCTACACCCCCCACCCCCCCCCCCCACGTTTCTTTTTCCTCTACCTTCCCTGTTTGCTTCCTAGCTATACCAACTTGTTGTTGTTTTCCCTGTTTGTATTCCTCTTTCCAAAGGTTTGTTGCCATTAAGGCACCATCAAGAGCATAATACATTCTCATCCTCTCAAAAGGTGTTCTGAACATTACATAATCTGACAAAGACCCAGCATGACCTATTGATCTTCCCACCCTCCAATACTCCCCAATTGGGCCTTGGCAAGATTCATGAATGGTGGAATGGGACTATTGATCGTTAGGAGGTGAATAGCCTATTGTCAGACAAGAATGGCAATCAGAAAGAGGTTAAAGCAAGAAGTATTAACTGTGTGATGAAACAGTTGTAGCTGTCGCAATTGATCCAGCAGTTAGTCTGTTTCTTTAGACCGAGAGTTTTGCTAAAAGATAGAACAGAAATACTAATTTCATAAAAATCATTATTGAGTACATGTATAGGTACTAGCACCTGTGATATACATGTATATGTACCTGCATGACACCTGCTGTGATGCTGCGCACTGTAGATATAGTCTGATGTTGTTCTAGCATGCAGTGCAATAGACACTGGGGAAGACAAAAGATCCTCTACTAATCTTTTTACAAATTTAATTTTTGTTACTAGTGATCTTAACTGGCTATTGTTTTTTTATGGTATGTTACTTCTATACTGTCTTGATTCATACCAGAGTTGATGATTTGGAAATTTTTGACAGTAACTCTTTGTAATTAGAATTAGCTACTCAAATATGGCTATTACTTAGACTAATTATTGTCTTTTATATTCCCGATTCAAAGGGAAGGGGGGTATAACCAGGGAGGTACGTGACTGCACACCCTCGGCACAATATTGAATAGCCATCATTTCACTTTTATTGTGCCCAGCACAAATGAAGAATGCCTTGGAACTATAAACAGGTGTTTTTAAAAAATACGCTCTTCCGTGAGGTGAAGGAGAGTGCTCCCGGGACATACAGCAAGGGATTATATGAACCGATGCCTGTTCAATCAAGCTTACGGCAGGACACAAGTTTAACCCAATCACACCTGGAGGAAGACATACAGTGTACTCATCAGAGCTAAGGGCTGTTCATGTATTGGGACAGATTCTGGACGTCACTTCATTACCTTCTTAGGCACTTTGGATACTAACAGATTGCATTTGTGATAAGACAATCACAATACAGTTGTCTTAAATCTGAGACAGACGCGGAACTGTGAAATACCAGTGTGAATGTGTTTACGATGTGTTGAGAGAGGACGACATAGTCGCAAAAAAAATCATCAAGCAGATTGCTTAATTGACAACGAGCATTTGGATGCACCCGTTGAAGTATTGTTCAATTAACTCTAGCTAATGTTTACATTAGACAGGAGCTCAAATTTCCATTCAAGTGCGATGCAGCAATCATGCAGTGTTGACAACGCTATATCTGTTTGAAGAAGAGGTACTCATTAACCATTGGTTTGCCTTTACCAGATTTTGATGTAAAACTGTCGGATATTGCTCGTTCCAATAAAAGGAATAAAAAGTTTGCTCTATTTATCTTTCAAAACACTTGGAACTTGAAAGATTTGACATTCGTTTGCATCACCGATGTGTATTAATCCATTTATCTGGCATCATTTCCAATCTAGACATTCTACTTGATCATCCCACTCCTATGATTATTTCATCTTTTTTTGTCTACATCTGATCATTCTGATGTGTGAGAGCTCTCCAACAGTGGACAACCATCTTGAAAAAGCGACTGAAGGAAATTAATAGGCCAGCAGGCATGGAATAAAACTATTCAAAAGTTCATCATGCTTCAGGCTCCAGACTGACAAGAACTCGATCATAATGGACATCAAGAATTCCGTGCAATTATTTCAAGATGAGGCAATGTGCATGAAATTAACAAAACAGGTTGATGGATGTTAGGTAGAATCTTGTCTTGTGGAGAAGACGGGCCAAAGAAATTTCTTGAACTTTTAAAAGGGATCATATGTGCATGAGGAGTGGATGACAAATCTAATGTGTTTTGCGTTTGGATGATGAATACATCAGGATGAGTCGTCATAGCAAAACGTCATCTCTGGTAAGCCAGGTATAGATGGCATGATGAAGTAATGTTTGTTCATTGCTTTAGTAGAGTCATGAATTATTTCTTCTCTCTTCATTTTCTTGAAATGAAAAGATAGATGAATAATATTTGATATTGATGTATACAGAGTACTCCAGACTAGCTAAATTTGTGTGGAGATGTGTAATGTACTATTGTTACGTGCTATATCATTACTATGATATTAAACTGTATTATACAACTCCTAAGTAGATCTTTGTCATTTGATTGGAGGATTGTTGGTCACATGATATTCAATGAATATACTATTGCACGGGTGTGCAATTTTAGTACTATTTGCCTTAGTACTATTCAACGAGTGTGCATATTTGGTTATATGCAGACTGCGTACCTCTCTGCCCTGCGTGTATCCCATTGTATTTATAGCTGCATGCATCTGACGTGAAGGCAATCTGAATGTAATCGAGAAGGCCTGACTCCAACTTTAATTTATCTTTAATATAAGGAGCAAAGCATAATTTGTTGAAAGATTAACGTTCTATTAAGATCTATGTTGTATAAAACAAATATTGAATGTTTTTCTTTCGTTCAATAGTGCGAATATTTTTCATTTGTTGAAAGATTAACGTTAATTCTATTCAACTCGAATGACGCCTCATTGAATAGAACGCTACTCTTTCAACTCATGATAATATTTGCACTATTGAACTCATAAGCATTCATTATTTGTATACTATTGCATATTATCTTGGGGTCTTTTGATAGTATATAATATTGGTGGGGTGGGGAAAGGGGGAGGGAGGAAGGGGGAGGAGTCCCTTGATCATCATCATGCTTGAAAATTTGCAGTAAGATCTTTCTACTGCATCTCTGAATAGATATAGGCATAATCAAGATCTTTTTTAAATACCAAAATTATTGTATCCTGGCACTTTCCTACCACCTCAGGAAAAATTGTAAAAGTTGAGACCAAGCGAATAAACCGTGATGAATTATTTTATCCTTTGATTACCAAATTAATCTACTGATTACTTTAGGCAATGGATAAACTTGAGTTGATTTCAATTAATTTGATAAAAAGCCTCGCACAAAGACACACGGCCAGGGCCTACAAAACATGTGAACCAATAGTACCGGTATACTAATCAAAATTAGCCGGAGAGTGATTAAAACGAGGATCTGTCAGTTGCTGTTGTTGTTGTGGTTAGTAATCACTGCATCATTAGACACACAAATGCATTTAATGCAATATTCTTCTAGAGAAATTTTGGTTAGGGTCTTCTCAATTGGATATCTCTGCAACTCTGTAATCCAAGTGTAATGAGAGAGAGCTCTGCTACGATTATTCACTGTTTGCATAAATAGTTACGTGGAATGGGGTCACCTTGTAACTGATATCTTGGCAACAAGAAGTCCAAGTGGTTGGTGTTAGACCATTTTACATTTATTGGAATTAGATCATCTTGTTTCTACCACGAGCAAAAATACTTTAAAGGGGAAGTCCACCCTGGTGTTCAGTTGGTTTTAATAGAAGCAGACAAATAGAGAAAAAAAGGTCTGTGAAAGTTTGAGCAAATACCGATTAAAAATAAGAAAGTAATGATTTTTTGAAGGTGCGACCAAACAAACATAGATTGTTTACTCTGTGATTTTTTTTGCAAGCTACCCTCCCTTTCGCCCTGTATTTAAACAACAAAAAATTACATTTTCCCTTAAGAAATATTTAAGTCATACATTCACCCTAAATATATTTATTTCATATGTTTTTATTCAAACCCTAGATATGAAACAAATCTATTCTGTCATCAGTAACAAATAAATTGAAATTTTATGAAATTTTCTGCACAGAGCAAATTGGAGAGGAGCTCGCAAGATATGTCATAGTGTTGCTTAATTGTGTTTCACTGATGACAACTTTAAAAAATCATAACTTTCCTATTTTTAATTGTATATTGCTCAAACTTTCACTTATTTTTTCTCTCATTTTTCTGCTTTTATTAAATCAATTTAATATAGGATGAACTTCGCCTGTAAATATTTTTTACCCGTCATACTGTAACCTGAACTACATGATCCTGTACATGTATATAAAGACAACCTGCCTATACATTTTTTAATTTATTTTATTTATTTTATTTCCAGGTACCGTACATGTATAAACAAATAGAAATGACAACACAGAGCATATAACATGAAAGAGTTATGAGACGGTGAAAATGCAATCAGTGGACGCCTGAGGATTACCTGAAAGAATTTCCATTCTGTCACGAGGTTCTCCACATCCACTGGTGTTACATATGAATAGATTTAAGAAGTAACAGTAAAATAACAGAATTCAAGTACATTTACATCCATCAACATCAAGCATAATAAGACTTAAAATAAGCTTTCATACTGTCTCCCTTGAGCTGTCTCTATGTACCGGGTTTAATTTTTCTTGTTATTAATCGATGAATTTCTATTTTGTTTCTGGTCTACAGGAGGATCTAGAGAGCCATGTCCCCCTCTTTGCTGACCACGAGGCCATCAGTGAACTCTTAGGGGGGTCATCTGCATTTGGAAGATCAGGCCGGGTGCAGGCAGAGAAACGGGACACACCCAGGACCAGGTCCCGATTCATGTCCCTGGATGTTACTGGCTCCTCCCCCAATCCCTTCCGAATACGGTCGCTTAGCAACCCAAAGGGGTCTAAACCTAAAGGTAAGAATATTGCTACAAGTTTTTTTTCTCTGAAATGTTTATGAAGTGCCCCTTTTGTACTAGCCTCAGGTAGTTTTTGTTGTTGTCTTTCTTTGTGTGTAGTGAGAGGGAACTCTGTGTACACTGAAATGATTAAATACCGTACCAGTTTTTGTTAAAACCAAACCATCTTATAAGTCTTAAGAATTGACATACCATAGAAACGCATGTTTATTCTATAACACATGTTCAGTTAGATGTCCAAGAAGTTAGACTTGGACTGATTCAAGTAATGGCCCTCTTAAGAGATGATTTTATCTTACCAAAACATATATTAGGAACATTTAAGATGTGCAATTTAGTAGTATGTATTGTAGTTTGCATTAGTTGCAAAACATACTCCCTGTTTGTTTTAAAAGTCACCAAAATTCTCTAGCAATTGACCCCTAAAAACAAACAAAAATGCCATAACTTTCTCATACCAATTCCATTTTTGTCTCAAATTTCCAAGGTATCTTTATCTCATCATTTCACGCTCCAATGTTCAACTTGCTCTAAATTAATGAGCTTTAAATACTTATTGTATGTCTATGAAATCTGGTACACATGTATTATTTATAAATGACAACTGTCTGCCAAGATTGATTGTCAGAATTTGATGATGAATATAAAGGCTTGCTTAATTACTTTGATTATGAAAAAAAAATAGAAAGTAAGTCAAGCATCGTTCAATGCATATTGATGAAAAAGATCTTCATTCTGTATCAGGATCAGGGATAGCAGATATGGACGTCATGGCATGCATATCGTTCTAACACAATTGCAGTTCTAGTTTTTCTTACTTGTATTATCATCAGTGATATGTGACTAGTGGAGTATACATGGAAGGGAAAAAATGATCGGGGTCACTCGGCTACTGTACATCAAAGGATGGGCTGCATAGACATCAAAGTATGAAAGGTTTAGAAAGTGTTCACATCCTGGCAGTATGGGTCGTAATTTGTTCAATCTCCCAGCCGATGCTTTCATCTTGTTGAGCCGTTATCCTCTGTAGAGCAGGATTGATGTAACCGCAGGTAATACGATCTCTAACAACTGTTTCAAGATAGCCTGGAGGCAGGTTGTTAATCAGTGAAATCTGAGACTGTGTAACACCCTCTTCTAGTGTCTTAGCGGAATGAGGGGAAACCCCTCAAAGAAACTGACCAAATTAAGCAATACAATTTTCTTTAAAGGGGACGATTAACACCCTTCTCCCCAAAACAAATGCATTGTTAAAAGACCTAAATCTCCATCCGAATAGATTAAGGTGATGAGATGATACATTAAGGAGGAAAAAATTATCATATGGCAAGGCCCTTTTTAAAATTTGCAATTATTTTCATGTGTTTGTAGGAACAAGTCCATCACTAGTCTATTCAGAAGCCACATTTACTTTTATTTAATTTCCCTAAATACTTCTAAGTATGTTGAAGAAGAATATATGATGTTACAAATTTGTGGGTTCTATGCTAATTTTCCCTTTTGAGGGGTGGGGGGGGGGGGGGCAAAGGACAGAAATGAAATATTGTGTCGCACAGGTAATTCATATTGAACTTCAATTTTTAAGTTAGTGTATTTTACATGGAATATCCTCAGGATGAACAATCATGACTTGTTTAACATTATGCCGGATAATTAAACGCATAGCGATAATCACGAAAATTCAATCCAAGAGTACCAATAGATCCTCAGTTTATCAGTACCTTGTTGCCGTCCATGGTCAAATGATTTATTCACTGGACCACAACTACTGTACTGCATGTACATGTATATTCTTGTAGAATACTATTCCTTCGATTTGCTTGTGCATCTAATTTATATTCTCTGGGGCTATTAGATACCTATAATCTGTTTAGAGCCAAAAGTATTCTAAATTCATATGAAAGTATATGAGTTAGCGCCCCTCTTGGTGTTATTAGGAGTCAATATCTTAACTTATGGGGATTTTTCAATAAATCCATAAGGATTGGCTGTGGTAATCTACAGTAGATCTGGAGTTAGTGGAACTAAAGCTTACACTACTGGTAATTGCTTTTGCTCCCGATTATGATTACATTTTTTCCTTCTAATTTGTTTCGTACTTTCACTAATTTTGCTGAATTCTTTTCCTCTTTATACTTTGTCAACATAATCTTTTATGTCAAATTGTCAGTTGGCCTACTATTTTTATGCCTCCGCCACCGAAGGTGGTGCCGGAGGCATCATGTTTTCGGGTTGTCCGTCCGTACGTCCGTACGTCCGTCCCGTTTGACCGTTATCACAATATCTCAAGAACCATTTAAGATTTAAACTTCAAACTTAAGGATAGTATGTATCACCATAGGAAGACGATCTGATTAGATTTTGGAGCACGTATGTCAAAGGTCAAAGGTCACAGAGGTCAACTTATGAAATTCCATACATTGAGATTGTTATCATAATATCTCAAGAACCACTGGAGATTTAAACTTCAAACTTAATGATAGTGTGTATCACCATAGGAAGACAATCTGATTACATTTTGGAGCACGTAGGTCAAAGGTCAAGGGTCATAGAGGTCAACTTATGAAATTCCATACCTTGAGATTGTTATCATGATATCTCAAGAACCACTGGAGATGTAAAAACTTCAAACTTAAGGATAGTATGTATCACCATAGGAAGACGATCTGATTAGATTTTGGAGCACGTAGGTCAAAGGTCAAGGGTCACAGAGGTCAACTTATGAAATTCCATACATTGAGATTGTTATCATAATATCTCAAGAACCACTGGAGATTTAAACTTCAAACTTAATGATAGTGTGTATCACCATAGGAAGACAATCTGATTAGATTTTGGAGCACGTAGGTCAAAGGTCAAGGGTCACAGAGGTCAACTTATGAAATTCCATACATTGAGATCGTTATCGCGATATCTCAAGAACCACTGGAGAATTTTCACTTCAAACTTAATGATAGTATGTATCACCATATCATAATATCTCAAGAACCACTGGAGATTTAAACTTCAAACTTAATGATAGTGTGTATCACCATAGGAAGACAATCTGATTAGATTTTGGAGCACGTAGGTCAAAGGTCAAGGGTCACCGAGGTCAACTTATGAAATTCCATACATTGAGATTGTTATCATGATATCTCAAGAACCACTGGAGATTTAAACTCCAAACTTGTTTAAATTGCTCTATGGCGGAGGCATCATTTTCGACTGCGCGCAGTCAAAATTCCATCTAGTTTTTTCTGTCATTAGTTTTTTTCTGTATCTTTGTGGCCGTCCCCTTCCTTGTCTTTTTCTTTCTCTCTATTCAGTAACATTTGCTTAGAAAAGTAGTATGCACGATGTTACCATAATTTTAGTGTCTCGTTACAGGAACTGCCAAGAGGCTACAGAATATAGGACAATTCTAAAACTCTTAATTGCATTTACTGTCCATCATTCAATACAAGTTAACCGATTCTGCTTTCAAACAACCTACTCTGTCCGCTTCAGAGGCACGCCAAAATGGAATAAGAAACAAGATTGGCGAAAACTGGTGTATTAATTGCCATCAGGAGGGAAATCCTCTCCTTCGTCCCCGGGGGGTAATTGAAATTGGACTGCACCAAGAATTGATTGATCACATGATTTCCTCATGAAAAGGGTATCAGAAAATTCTTATTGTTCTGTAATGAATCATCTACGTGACTGATTCAAAAGCTATTCTGCAGGTTCAGAGGGGATTTAACCGCAAGTCCTGTTGACCCCTTTCTCAAAGATCTTTCAATTCAATATAGTTTATGTTTTTTTTAGCAGTCCTTTTTATCATTTGTAGTTGTTCATAGGTTTAGTTGTGTTACATTTTTAGTGGGACTGTTGTATATTATGCCTTCGTGCAAGTATTACATCATCCATTTGACATTCAAATGATTAAGTCCTAAATTGTACAATATCGTTCCTTTCCCTATTGTCATTATTTTTATTTTCTTGACATGGTATTATTATAGCCTTGCTTTACCTTTTGGGAACAGAACTTTGTTGCTTAATTGCAATCATTGTTCTTTCTTTCTTTCTTTCTTTCTTTCTTTCTTTCCTGGTCTCCATTTATTTAATTATAGCAATTTCCCCTTTGCCTCTTTTTTCCCTTTTCCCTTTTCCCTTTTCCCTTTTCCCTTTGCATCCCTTACTAACTTTTTATTAGTTTGTGTTATACTCAAAGTACTCTGTCTCTATTGATTATGTTTTCTATATAATTGTAATGCGGTGAACACACCATATCTTTTAAGCCTTAAAAAGGAAATTCTGCACAGTACTTTGATCTATTTATAATTGTTTGGGTTGTTGTAAGTATTTAACCACTGCACCTTGCTACCCAGACTGCTCCCTGTTTAATATGCAGTTAATGCTCTAGATCAGGTTTCCCCCTTCTTCCAAGAATCACTTTCTCCAGAAAGGATGTACATACACTTCTTCGGTCTTTACTCCTACTCTTCATTACCGCCCTCTCAAAGTTGCTCAGATCCCTTTTGATGAGGTGAAGTAAACCATTAGCGTAATGGACTGGCTAATAAACCGTCCGAGTGAGAACCTAAACATCATTTCATATTCCTTGGTGGCTTTGTTGGCTGTGGGTAGTGGGGTCATTCCATCGGGTTGGGTCATAAATTGTGACATGAAGGTTCAAAATTCAGAGTTGTTGAATAATTTGTTTATTGTTATATCCTGTTTTTAACACTCATTCTTCAATAGATTCCACTGGAATTGTGTGTATTCCTTCGTACGCTTTCATTTAAAATGAAAAAACAGACACACCAAAAAACCAACGTTACAAGGACATCTTTTTTTACTTGCTCATTTATTTTCTGATCTGAAACTTTGTCACAGTCTGTACTCCACTTTTTTGTGTGTGGAAAACATTTAGATGATGGGAGCAATAGTTTAGAATACTTAAAACTTGAACACAGCAACATTATATCAATTTATAAACATGAAACAAATGAGGAACTAGCAATCTTCAGATC